TCATAATTGTTCTTTATTTCATCAATTACGGTTTCATATTTTTAATTTTAGAATTTCTGCATGCCATCTTACGAGATTTAAACTGATGATCTATAATCCGGAAAAATCGATAATCCAGAATCGGCGAAGTCCCGACGAGTCCGGATTAACGACTTTTGACTGTACTAAGAGATTTTGGAGAAAGACGTCAGGAAGAGATGATCAAATGTTTGTCAGTTTACTATTAATTTCGGTCCACGCTAGTGTCTATCATCCATACTGTGGTCATATATTTTTAATATTTAAGTAGATAAAAAACAATTTAACACTTTTTTTTCTACAGTCAAATACCAAAAATCTGCCAACCTGAAATCTGTGTTGCCTCTCAAAATATAAACATTCAGTTTATAGGTTCCAGAAACCGCAACATTGAGTACGAAATATCGAAGAAAAAATACTTACAGAATAATGACGTCATAATTACCGAATAATAACGAGTCATAACAGAAATACCAAATTATTGACATAATTTTTTTCTTAAAATATGATAAAATAAATAAGATAGAAGGTTTTTTCTCTCTAATCTGCATCGAGGTAAAAAAGCAGACGATTCACTCAACTCTTCGTTCAAGTTCACGTTGTATTTTCTGAGCTTTGTTATTTCACGAGATTGTGTAATGCTGCCTTTTTTTTTCTATCCAGATATTTTGTGAATCAATTAAGAATATTTTAAATTTCAGCCCCTTTTTAATACAATGGCAGATAAGAAACGCACTCGTGATTTTACTGCTTGCAACGTTAAAAAACGTAAACACGTTGCATTGACGGTAATGCAAAAAGTGCAAATTCTGCAAAAGATGGAGGCAGATGCTACTCCTTGATTTACAGCAGATTGGTATGGAATTGCAACACAATTGTGTATGATATATGGAAAAATAAAGAAAAGCTGTTAGAATTTTATAGCAACAGTGATTCTAACACCGAAATCTGAAACCGGAAATCTTTGCATGAGGTGAAATCGGCAAACCTCGATGCTGTGTATATATAATGCAATGAAAACATAATCAATTTATATATGTAATCATAATTTAATGCATATAATAAATTATTGCAATAATGTATATAACAATTTAATTAAATGTATCTAATATGCCTTATTTATTTTGCACTTTTAGTCTGAATATTATGCTTTATCTTTTCCGTCCTGAAATACGCAAAATCCTAAAATCCGCACAACCTCTGGTCCCAAGCTTTGCGGATTCCTGGACTTCTACTGTATCTTCTCTCACAACTCGCATAGCATTACTATGTTGTCTAAAAATGATAATTTTGAAGTTTTCAGATTAAAATTATAAAACACAGAATAAGCAGATTTTTTTACATCATTATTGTGAATATTTTAAAAGCCTTGCTTGGATGATTTTGTTCACAGCTGAATTGTTGCTACCCAAGTAATCCCACATACAATAAAAAAAAGTATAGTAACACCTCTCATACCCGGTACCCAATCAAACCAATAATATCAAAATAACTGCCCTTTTGAAAGTCTAGATTTAAATCTAAAACTTAGGCCTATGAGATTTTAAAAAAAATTTATGTAATGGACTGATAATCTGAAAACTTAAGATGAGAAAGATGAGGAGGAGAAAGAGATGAAGATGACTGCAACATGCTGAGTAAGAAAGGTAAGTGTCTTCTACTTGAAAGTTGACATTTAGTTGACAAAGAATTGCCATAACATTTCCCAAAAAGTTTCATCTAGGTCCATACATCAAACTTCATTTTACGTGCAGTGAATTTTTAAAACTATACCAACAATCCTGTAAGCATGGAAACATTTGAAGTTATATGGTATCACAGTAAAACATTTGTACCATCATACTAAATATGATAATTTTAAAATACTGCTTAATTTTGTTTTCTGAAATATAAAATCCTGTTACATGATATTTTAAATAATATGTACTTTTTTTGATAGTATCTATTTAATCTATTTAAATACTAGCGATAAATAGATGTCATCAAAATACATAAGTATATTCATATATTGGTTTTGCACTTGATTTACTTATCCTATCTGAATTTAAATGACATAGTAGATTAGTTCGAAAATTAAATCTTATGTTTGCACATTATTTTAACTTTAAATTTGCTTTTTTACGTATTTACATGTTTACTAAAATTTAAGTTCTAGAAATATATATTCAATTTATCCAGAAAAATCTCATCTCTAGAAATGGTGTGGTCCTGTTGCTACTGGTTAAAAGGAATTCCACTGTATTAAGTAAAACTTTAACCCACAGACAGAAAAGGAATTGATATTAACCACATGATCAATGTTTTTAAAAGTCTTTAGATGAACTTTTCCGCTTACTTTCAAAAATTTTAAATGCCTTTACGGTGCACTTTTAAAACAGATATTTTCTACTTCGAAGAAGTTTACTTTTTGTGATGTTGTTACCATTTCACTTTGTTAAAAAAAAACTAAAGAAAAATTTTCCTTTAAGAAAAAATGGCAAAAAGTGAAAATAATATTCATATTTGTTTTATGCAATCAATGAAGAAATGATTCATTATACGAGGGCCATCCAGGAAGTAGATTACGTTTCCGTCTGTGTCCGCTAGGGGCGGGGCTAGCGCGGCCATCTTGGGGTCAGAGCGTTGCGCAGCTCAGTCTGCATCTAGCCGTGCTAGTGAGAGGTTCGTGCTGTGCTCCGTTCAGATACTGTGACGGTTTGAAATGTCTGCGTTAATTGAAAATCCCGCGAGCTGCGAGGTGCGCTCAGTAATAAGGTTTCTGACTGCAAAAAACTGTAAAACCGATAGAAATCTATCGGCAGCTTCGTGAAGTGTATGGGGACAACATTATCACTGAAGGTGGAGTGCGTCAGTGGGTCATAAGATTTCAAAATGGCCGAACCAATGTTCACGACGAAGATCGAAGTGGGAGACCCAGCATAGTGACCGCCGAACTTCTCGAAAAAGTCGATGCTAAAGTCCATGAAAATCGAAATTTCACAATAACGGAACTTTCTTTGAGTTTTCCACAAATTTCGCGAAGTTTGTTGCACGAAATCATCAGCGAAAAGCTTGGTTACCACAAGTTTTGTGCAAGATGGAAGGCAAGAAGAGGTAACGAAGTGGTTGAAGGCGCAGGCGGCCGAATTTTTCGACGAAGGAATTTCCAAGCTCGTACATCGCTACGATAAATGCCTTAATTTGTATGGTGACTATGTAGAAAAGTAGTATTTGAGTGTGGCTTTCATCTGTATATAATAAAATTTGTTTCCTATACTTTGTTTATTTTTTTTATTCCAAAACGTAATCTACTTTCTGGATAGCCCTCGTATTTCTGAAAGAGCACACATGCTCAAAGAAAAATTTATTTCTAGTCTTACATTAGTAATGTAAACAACTTTACTTTCAATACTAAAGCAGGTAGATGAGGAAGGAACTGACAAATATTGTAATTACAACATATTAACCCTCTGGCTGATCATCCCGCAATTTCCGCGGGCATGTGTTTTTCTTCCTTTATTGAGGAGCACGTCCCGTTTTTTCCCTGTTTAACCACTGAAATCAATTGTATGCAGTACTAGACGTTTAGTTTACACTTTGGCCAACAGATATCATTAATTGTCCACTAAATTGCACCGTTTGAAGGCACGTGGTATTACCGCTCAAACTCCACTTTTTTACTTACAGAAATGGCTGCTAGAAAATGTTCAGCGATTATCTTGATTATTTAATTAAATTATTGAATTATTAATTAGATTTATTGATTAGATTAATAATTAGATTGATTATTAATTAGATTTATTGAATCTGGTGCAAAGACTGTGAAGCTAGACTTTGCCTTAAACCCTGTTTTGAACTCTATCATATCAAACTGCATTTCTAAAGTATTTTACCCTCAGCAATTTATATTTTCTTAAATTTTATACATTTTACTTTTTTATGTTATGCGATAAATAGAAATTAACTATAATTCGACTGAAATTTATTTTAAAAAAGTTTTTTTATATATATATATATATATATATAACAACTGAAACTTGTTTTTCTGGCAACTTAATTTCACATGATAAAAATCTATATAAAAAATATTTTCTAGAAAGAAAAAGTGCATTTCTCACTTCTCCAATATATATAGATTTAAAATATGCAAAAAAAAAAAAAAAATTTACACAATTTTGGAAGCGATTTCGGTCCACAAATTGAGCAGTCAGAGGGTTAAACTGATATATTAAATAGATTGAACTAAAAAACACTGATAATCTTTCATTTACCGCTTTCTCCACAATTTCTCTCTCAGTATCCATTTTTTAAAAACTCAATATACTATTGTCAATGCCATCATTCTTTAATATGCTTATTGACTTCAAAATTTTGAAAGGTAAACAATGTTGCTATGGACACACTGTGCACTTGCTATATACTGTATTGCTGTTTACTTGGGTTTCTCATTCAGTGTTATATTAATTAAGTTTCTTACTTCACACTTAAGATTTTATGGGCATTTTTGGACACCTGAGAACATCTTAATTTCTTCCATAAATTATTAACCATAACCACTCTACAGCATTTCGACTTATGAAAAGTTTAGCAGAAATGCTCTTACACAGTGAGAAATTTCAAATTTATGTAAATTAAGAAAAAATATATAATATACGATATTCTTCAACTCTGAACAAAATTTCTTCCACCAAAAAATACATAATTTGTGTAAATCAAAAAATCTTGCACACAATTAAAACAATTGCAACTTTCATACTCCAGATTTTCTCTAATTATATACAAGAGTTTTATTTCTCATCACTTCTAATTCAGGTACAATGTATAAATATTATACCTTTTCTTCTGTTCAATTTAGCATTTCAATAGCCAACTAAAATATTTATACTATAATAAGAAAAATATTATTTTACATACTTCTAAAATACAGCCTTAAATGAAAGATTTTTTTCAATAAAAATTCAGAACATCAAAACACAAATGAAAATACAAAATACTCCACTAACTTTTTAGAGTGATCCTTCTTTGAGCTCATGGCATATATTTTTCCAGAAGTTGAGGCCATCAATTCATGCCATTTTTGCTTCTGGTACAATTTTAAAGCAACTGGGTATCGGATTTTCAGAAACACGTGATTTTTATTGTGAATATTAGGTAAGCTTTCACATTCTTGGCATAAGTCAAAATCAGAACAGTTCCTAAAATGGTTTTAAAAAAAGAATACAAATGAATAAAAAGGACAGCTATTATAATATTACATTTATAACGCAATCTATAATGAACAGCCTTTTCCTTTTGGCTTGTTTACTGTGTATATAAAATATTGTCACAAAATGGAATCAAATATAACAATATGACTGAATATTAGTGTTACTGTCAAGTTGTTATATATAAGTTTATGACTATGTATCCTTAGATTGCCAATAGATGGCGGTAATGTTTGTAAAAGGAAACTGTGATGTCATAATTATGTATTAGTTCGTCTTTGGTGTTCGTCAATAAATGTTCTGTGGAATAACGCTCTCTGTTAATTACTTTAAGTTCAATCCATTCTGATTTATTAGAGACTTACATATATTTTATTTAGAAGTATTTAAAACATTGAACACAATATTACAACAACAAATACTAACTCCCAACTTATAGCAAAACAACATTTTTACAACTTTAAAATCTGCATGTAAGGCATATTTTTTAATTGACTGTTCAATGCAATTAATTGAATTACATTTAAAATCCATAAACATAAAAACTGAATAATTAAAAATACTTTTTGCAAATTCTATGAATGTTTTATTAGAAATTTTATTTTATTACTCAAGCAAAAATATCATTAAATCTACTAATATATTAACGGAACAAATATATTAAATTATAAATCATAGAGGCAATTAAGAATATATAAAACATATATCTTTGAGGTTCTTGAATTGATTTCTACAGGGACACAAAAAAAATCTCGATACAGACAAGAAATATATATATAACAAAAATACTGAATTCATTAATATTTTCTGAATATAATGATTTATATGTAGCATGCTTTGCAAGCTGTAGCTCTGAATAAAATAATTTCTACTACCTTTTTCTATAACAAGGCTCTTCATCTGCCTACATGTTTACTTTCTCAATCAGAATCGCTCCAAGCATTCTTTATACCTAAATTTGGTTGCAATACAGTTTTCCCCTTTTTAAAAGAAATATGGATAAATGGAGGGGGGACTCTTTCACAGGTTGCATTTGCATAAGGTTTTTTTGGGAGGGAGGCTATGATAAAATCCAGAAATATTGCATTTCAAAGCTTCAAATGATCTGAAATTGGAAGGTGCTGTTCAATTGAAACTCGTATTGACACATTCACCGCCACCAACATGCTGGTGCATCAAAATGGCACCATTTCACATGCCAGTCGACTATAGTACATTATATAAATTATTTTTTGTATGGCACTGAAAGTTGAATGAAGAGATTAGTTAGGCATGTTAATGAAGCACTTTTTAGTGTGTGTGTGTGTGTGTGTGTGTGTGTGTGTTTGTGTGTGATTTTCAAATTTTGTGTTTGAAGAATTTTTTTATGTACATTTTAACTTCCTTGTACGAAGTAAAAAGGAAGTATTGTAATCGCGAAAAGTTTCAGGCAGCATATTTCAACGAAAATATCCATTTTGACTGCTATCGAAAACAATTTAACGATGTTTTTGCGTGATATCTGTACAAAGGACAGAATAAAATACTCTTTCCCTTCAAAAAAATTATAAAACTGCTTTAAAATTAATTCTGAAGAGAATTTTTCGTGGCGTCTGTACGTGCGTACATACGTATCACGCATAACTCAAAAATGAGTAGCCTCAGAACGTTGAAATTTTGTATATAGGACTGCTATAACATTACACCTTGTATTTTGGTTGCAGTCGGCTGCCCCAAACATATATAAATATATTTATATATATATCCACTCTATTACCAGGCTCAGTGATCTCAGTTTCTTTGCTCTTATATGTTTGTAAATTGTACATTTTTTTCTTTAAAAATGATTGAATTATATTGTTTTTATCTTCCAGTTAAGGATTTTATGCCTTTAGTAAATCTGTGTGCAATATTTTTAGAATTATCGGCAATTTTAGAGTTGTTTAATTGCCGCTAAGCCTGTATTTAATGGCGGCCATTGATGTTTACATTTGAAACAGGAGACTAGTGGATTTGTTGCCAATCTAGAGAAACTTAGCTTCGCAACAACAAAGATAACGCATTCATTTATTATTGCCAATTAAATCATGCTTAATTCTTTCTGGAATTTTTTCGAGGAAATAAGCGTTTGAGATTTACTTTGTAATTTTTAATATAGATATTTTGAGTTCTTATGTATTTTTGCCTTCTTTCAAAGTAAGAACTGAATCAATTAAATGAGAAATACTCAATCGTCTGTGAAAAACTGTTTCTTTTTTCTTTTTTTTGCTTAATTTCTTTTAGACATCATTCTAGCTTTATTATAGTATTTGAATAGAACATATGGCAACGATTAGATAATTCTTTAAATGATATACATTTTGTGCATTCTGAGTTATAATATGAATGAAATATAATACTGTTAAGTAAACCTAGCGCCAGAGTGTCGCTATGGTAAAAACAAAGTGAATTTTAAAGAATGCATTTATTCTATTGTGGTTTATACGCTGTCAGCGAAGTAGATTTAATTCAATCTAATAAGTTTAAATAAAATGCAAGAAAAAAATGCATATAATTTAATATTCCGTACAAGGAAGTCATGTGGTATACACATCAGATTTTTAAAAATAGCAACACGTGTGGTAGGATGGCAGGACCTTCACGGCCCAAGAAAAGGAAAGTGAATAAAAAAAAACTGGCTGATGCCAAAACATTACAATTATTAGAAAAGAGTGACATTTCCGATTATGAGAGCACATACAACAAAGACTTCAGTTAGGACTACCTGAGCAAGGAAGACAGTGGTACTAAGGTGAACACCACAGAAACATTGGATTCTGAGACAGAAGATAGCAATGCACTTGAACAACTACTAACAGTTATGCACAAACACCACATACGAGTGTCGAGATTGCTCAAACAAACCAGGATACTGCTTGAACTGCTGTGGAATACATATGTTACCGTGAAAGACCTAAAATGGAGAATGTCGACTTTCACCGGAGAATGTCAACATTCACCAAATATGTCGGTGAAAGATTGAATATTGCACTACATTCTTGCATATTTGGACCCTCACCGGTGTATGTCGACAATTACAGATATGCTCTGGTGAAAGTCGAAAAGAGAAGTTATAATAGTTTAGTGCCATAATAGTTTAAGTTGTTGCAATAAATAAGATTTGAATCACATAATTTAGTAAGTTTTTTTATTACTGTTATTTTATTTTCTCATTTAAAACATACTGTATAATTAAGTAAGTTTTAAACTTCTATTATTTTCCTTTCTCATTTTGAATGTATTGTGTGTTTTAGGTTCTCATGTTCTTATTTCAAGTCTCAAGTGCGTTTATTCGCCACTGAATTAAGGAGAAGAAAATATAATATTGTTATATGTTCAACATTCACCATTAGTACATGCTGAATGTCAACATTGACCAGTGTAAGTCAGAAATAAGAGTATTTGGAAAAATATTTCGGAAATACACCAAGAGACTATGTGAATGTTGACATTCACCGGTGAAAGTCGACATTCTCCAGATTTTGGTGTTTCACCGTAACATATACAAGTGATAGTTTAGTAATGCAGCACTGTTTCCTACACAAGTGACACTTTGTTTGCAATAAGCTTATAATTTTCGAATTCTTTTCATGCTTTCCAGCTATAACAATTATGTATTTTATATAACTTGCTACTGTATACAATCTTTAGAGTAGAGCATATGACATGCAAGTATACTTTTTTCTTTTTTGTCTTCAACATTTTGAAATAATAACAGTTCAATAATCCCAATATATTTATTTGAAAGGACTTTATAGTTTTCATAAACGTGACTTCTTATTGTCCAACTATATGTTTTACGTCTTTTAAACTGTTGGTTTCATGCAATATATCAATGATTTCCTAAAATAATGATCAAACACGCTACTGTGTCAGTGAAACACAAATAATAGGTTGAATATGATGTGCCACTGGCGCTCTAGAGCATCAGGAAAAAATATTGTACTAAACATGAAAATAAAAACATTTCTCTAGTTTTATTAGTAAAATATAAGGAACAATTTTAACCATTAAAACACTGTTTTATAACCAGCTTCTATGGATGGAAATATTTTTGCTAGCAGCGAATGTATTACATAGAATAATACCCATTTTATGTCTCCTACAAAGAAATTTAACATTCTTTCGATTTTATAACAGCAATTACTTTACGCCTCAGAGAAATTATATGCCATTTACTATTATATTTTACACTATGTGCAAATGAAAAGTCTTTGTGCAAGATCTTGTCATGCAAAAGTCTGACTTGAAGCTAGTGCAAGGTGTACGATTTACAGACACTTTACATGCATCAATGCATAGAAATTCTGTAGAATATAAGTCTTTAATTTCTGGTTTGATAATTTTAATCTTCTAATTCTGGGGCAGCATAATTCCCGAACTTAAAAACTTCCAGTTTAATTACAACTCACAAGAAGCACACGCTACGTTTTCTCACCATAATATAATTGAATGGTGCCTGCAGGATAAACAGAGTACACTGTGGGTGCTTCATCGAAAACATAAGGGCTGAAATTTTCTGAATTATGATTATTTTCTGAATTATGATTGGTCACTTCTTAAAATCAGAAACACCATCAACTTAACAGATGACCATTTCCGCAGTCATCGAAGGAGTTAGTTGGTACCTTTACGCCTTTGCATTTGGTATATATGCAGCTGTGGTTTTTTCCTTTGTTGCACATTTCTTTATTCCTGATAAAGAAGGATCTGTACCCATTTCTCTTGAAATCGATATTAATTAAAAATCTACATCAAACACAAGGTTGCTGCTTTGCTTAATCTTCCAGTAAAATCGGTAATAGTTCCCCCCCTTTTTTTAAATATCTTTCACAGCTTAGTTTTTAAGCAATTTACACAGAAACTACAAAGAATCCATAATAATTGGAATCTATGCATAAGGCATGATATTTATTAATTCCAGTGAACTCTCCTGTTGTAACAACCTAAAAAATTACTAGTATTGCTGAGAA